TCTCCAAAGTTGGGGGCAGGAATGGTTGGGGGGCAGTGCTCTTAGTAGGCAGCGCGAGCCTGTGTCAGCTACCGCGTGTGTTGGCMCGAGGAGGCACTGACAGAACCTGCTGCCTCTCAGACAGCAGCAGCCCTGTTTTCGCTCTTGATGAGAGGAAATCGTGCGCAGCCCCTCTTATGTTGATAATGAAAACACTTCATTTGGAAGCTATTAAAAGGCTTCCTGTATTTACTACAGGGAAGAGAAGTTTAATAACATAGCCCATTTGTAAACATTTTTGTGAACATGAACTTATAATTTATACAAGTTCAGCAAGCCATCAGTTATATAGGTAYGCAAGCATCATGCATAAAAGCTGTCAACATAGCCTGCTCTCTTCAGAGGCAAGGCAGCTTTCCTAATCTTTTGTTCTATGGAAGAACACAAGTGTTGGTAAATGTTGTTAAAGTTAAGTGTTCTCAATAAGTTGTCATCTTCCAAAAAAAAAAAATCCCATGTTTCTTCCACTTTTCTTGATCATTTGTATTCTGAAATACTCAACAACTACAGTAGGAATAAATGAGCATAGCCCATGTACTGGTAGCATGTCCCAAGAGAGACAGATCTAGGGAGTCAGTGTTTAAAAAAAMCAAATCTACTTTGTCAAGTAAAGTGACATGGGTGCATTGCTGTTCTGTAGTGATGCAGTGGTAGCTAATAGACATCCTGATTTCCATTCTCAAAACACCTTCATTAGGCACAAATTTGGACACTAATGCAGGTCTGTTTTCTGTCTATATCAAATATTAAACTTCTTTTTAAAAACTATGCATGCCATTGGAAAAAAGGTATTGCTCATAAATACTTTTGAAATACTTTTGCACTGCATAGGAAGGAGGGAAGGAGTAAGTAAAAAAGATGTTTAATTCATCTGAAGTCCTATTTCCAGACATAATCAATGATATTACATTGATTATAAGCAGATGGCTTAATACTAAGGTTATAAAGTCAAATATGCATTCAGGAACATGCTAGAATTCACCTTACTTTGGTCTTTTCTTCACATTAAAAATGGTTCATTATGGTCACACACTTCGCTTTTCTGCAGATGTGCTTAATCCAGTACATGAGTGGTGACTTCCTTCAGGCCATAGTTTCTGAATACTTAAGTTTCTTCTGATACTGTGAAAAAATAAAATCAAACATACTTACGGTAAATGCAATAAAACACAATTATTTCATGCTRTAATTACATGGAATCAAAATGCTTTCTGCTAAAGTTCCTACATGTAAATCAGATTTAGATATTTCAAATATGGTATGTTGGATTGAGATAGTAGATAAGTTATTTATGACAATTAAAATTATTTATCTTGTATTGTTGTGTGGAAAATACCAAGAACTTATGAACATTGGAGCAGACACATCATTACTCAGTTGGATTGGGCTTTAGTGCTGTTCGTGCTGGAGTTGAAGTAATTCTGTAAATACATACAGCATCACAGGCTGAAAGGAGCTTGTACTCTGGTTCTCTGTTGGTAAAGAAATGCCACTTCAAACAGACTCCATTGTATTCCAGTGAAATGGACTGCCTGGTCCATACAGACATACTAAATCTCAAGTTTTTAAATGCTRAAGTACCCCTGCTGATATGTAAATAGTCCCTTGCACTTCAAATTGCAAGCCTCACCTAATAAAGAATTTCACCTTCCTGGTCCATGCATCTTTTCAATGCAGGTGTGTTCTCTGCTACCATTTAGCTTGGAGATGAAGTACAAGATCTGTATCTACTATAGAAGTAATCTTACTAAATACCATTGGAAAGGAGGTCAGGAAATATGGGCRTAGGATGTGAAGGATATGGAACAACTGGGTGAAGGGAGTTGAAGAATGACTAAAAGTCTTCTGTTAATGACAGTTTTCCCTACACCCCACTTCCTCCTCCCCTCAAAAAACTGCATTCTTACCCTTCAAGCCAATTGAGCAAAGCCGAGTCTGTCAGTCTGCCTGTCATTTTTGACACTCCTGTGTAGATGCTCCAGCTATCACTGGAGAAGGTGACTGAAAGGCATTCACTGAAAGGCTGTGGGAGTCTGGCAGCCCCATGCCATTGGAGAGGGCATTAGTGAATTTAAAGGATAAAACAGTGAGGAGTTGCTGCTAATCTGAACCCCAGAGCTCCATCATGTGGCCAGAGCTGTGCACAGGCTGGAGCCTCAGCCCTTGGCTGCAGGCAGCAGCTTCCCACGAGTGCATTTGGCAGTGAAGTSATTCCCGTGTTCTCAGTGCTGTGCCCGAGTCCTGCACTTGCACAGCGAATGTAGCTCTCCCTCACTTTCACTGCCTTGGGCAGGTTATAGAGCAGAGACCTACAGGTGTCTGGAGAAAAAAAACTATATATATATATTTTGGGCAGTGCTGTTAACAGGGAAACCACATGAAAAATATCCCACTTAAAAAGCTTAAAATTTCATAATCGTCCAAGTGTTTATTGCTGAATTAGCCTGAGTGCAGGCAGGTGGCACAAAGTCTTGTGCCTTACTGTGATCTGATACCAGACTTAAGGGTTGGATGCAAGAGCATACTCACTTGGGTGGCTAGCAGATATCAAATCAGTAGGGGCTGCGCCAGGAGCATGATTTGCAAAGTTTCCCTGCTTTGGTGCGTGCCAGAGAGACTTTAACACAACGTCAGGAAAGCAGCATACAGCTAGACCTGCAAGGAGGCGTGAGAGATCTCATTCTTTGAACGGACATCGTGACTTGACTATACAGATTCTAAAAAGTCTAATAACCCACAAGTACATTGCTTAAAGTCCCAAACTACAAAACTTAAMTACAAAACAGAAGATGAATTTAACTACTTATTTAAAAAGAAAAAAAAATCTTTTTATAAAAGTTAACCTGGAGAAGGTTAATAGAATGGAGCAGACAAAATCAGCAATATTAGAATTGTATTTTAAAAAATGACCAGAAATTGATAGCAGGTACTTGGTAGCTATAACCTGCTGATAAAACTTTTCTCCACTAGTTAGAAGATGGGATACACTGATCTTCTACTGATCTTCTATTATTTAGAGAGTGAGGATTTCCTAACGGACTTGAGCACTTTTAAGATCTCAGAGCAGATAAGTGCACATAATCCTAAAAGAACAATTGTAAGGAATTCATAATATTTTCTCCAAGGACATTTTTGACCTTAAATAATAAATAATCTATGCACAGCTGCATCAGATAAAAGGCACATGTTTGGAGAAGCTGAAAGCAGACAGATTGTTATCAACTGAGAAATAGCAAACTCTTGACAGGAAAATCAAGTTATGGTGCTAGAAGGTGATTTGGAATCTTATATAAGTTTCAGAATTTCCCAGGGAAGACTTGCTGTTAATAAAGTCTGTTTTATACATCTTCTCAAGTGGGTTACCTTTAAAAAACAAACAAAAAACCCYCTAACTTACSTGGATGTGAAACAGTGATTTCTATTCTTATAAATCTAGTATTTTTCAGGCTGTGGTGTAAGAGAGCAAATTTGCAAGTATTTTCTTGAAGTATTTTGTGCTGTTTATTTTTTGTCATGCCCTCTTGCATTGTGCAACACCAGATATTTGATTTTGAGGCACTTAAACTCTCTTCAGTGCATCGGAGGGTCAGCAGCTTCATCGTGAAGTTTCTCCTGAAATTACAGATCTTTTAGGACAGTTACTGCATGCAGTTAATGAAATGACATATYGAAGGTACCAACTTGGCTGTGTCTCCAGCAAGAGTCACTGGACAAAGGCCCTTGTGAGCTACCTCTGCCCTTTAGAGATGGGGCCTTTATGTGAATGCCCCAGTGCTAATTCTAAACCTGTGGGGCTTTGGTGCGAGAACAAGGAACTGAGTRTGCTTGGCAGCAGCACCTCTCCCAGGCTGATACAAAGGATGAGATGTGTGGCAGTATTTCATCAGGATTTGACTGTCTACCAGGCTCCTATTCCAATTTATTTCTGTTTTGTGCATTAGCATCAACTGCTTCTGTCCATCTGTGCATGCTAAACTATATGCTCAGAGGCATGCRAAAGCAAATAATGGGATTTATACAAATGATAAACAAGATTTAGGAGCGATTCACCAAAATCTGTCATAAATATTGTGCAAAGAGTATTCTACAGTAAAACTGAGAGGGTTGTAAAGTACTTTTTCTTTGCTTATCAAGGAATAATGTTATTCCTTTATATATGAATGCATAATATAGTCATGCATTGTGTTTTTTGGCAAAAATATTAACATGCATTCAGAGCTGTTTTTCTGTCAAGACTTTGTTTGAAAACTGGTCTGAAAATCTCAATTTCGAATTGGGATGAAGTGTTACTGAAACATGTATTTGACATTCAAAAAACTGGATTTTCATAAACACTTTCAACAATCACATAAATTACATGGACAAAATAATCAGTTTTCCTTTCCAGCTCTATTTAAGATGTCTTTGTTAAGGAGGGGACTTTAAGTCACATCTGCCTGGCAAGTATTTAGATTTCAAAGTTGTTGTTTTTTTATACTTGTGTTAAACTATGTTGATGTAAAAACTGGCTTTAAGATTATTTTCAAGATCAATTGGAAAAGCCTATTTGGCAATATATGCCTTAAGTGGCTTTTTGACAAAGCAGGTGTAACAGTTAAATGATACAGAGAGTAGGACCTGTTCTTATTTTTTTGTCTAAATAATAATAATTTTGTCTAATAATAATTTTGTCTAAATAATTTTGTCTAATAATAAAAAAGTCCTTACGAACAGAACTTGATGTAATTTCAGACTAATGGAAAAAAAAAGATGATACCTATTTTTCTTTGAACTGTTAAAATATTTATGATAACTGAAAAATGGTACATAACAAATATATATCTGATCGAATTATAAACATCAAGGCATCATGATCCATGTTTGCATTGTTAGGATCTTATATTTTGTTATTRCTTCTAATTGTAGAGGAAGAAGTTCAGCTTTGTATGTAATGCTTCCAAAGCTTTTTCTTCTATTTCCAGATGAATTTACATTTGTGGGACAGGAATGGTACTTTTAAAGAAAAGTTTAATGATTATAGTTGCTATGACTGCCACAGCTTGCGAACTGTCAAAAGATGGAATATGGTAAGACCCAAGCGATTGGTAAAATTTTGAAATTAATCTTACTTTTAAAGTAAATAASTGCATATTTGGGGAGGTAAGTAATTTTTTCTTTGATTTTATTTTGTCTTCTTTTTTAATACTGTAAAGGGTGCCTTACAGCAAGCTTACCTTAACTTTAAAAATCACACTTCCTACATCGTCTCTGAAGATGCCTGCACTGTGGGATGAGGTAGTAGGTTGTATAGTTTTAGGGTCATACCCACAACTGGGAGATAACTATACAATCTACTGTCTTTCCTAAAGCAGCAGAAAGTCAACAGCGGAAACGTTGCGRTTCAAGTTCAATGTCAGATTCTACTGAGCTCCTGCACTTGGAAGGTCTATAGATAAGGTATTTTAGAAGAAAACTGTCAYAAGTGCATTTAGGTTTTTCACATTTTTCAAAAATCCATGTACATAAATTCCTCTCCCCTAAAGAAAATAGCCTAAACTTCCTATGTATATGATTGGGTAATCAAATACAAGTGATTGATGTTCTAATCAGGTGCGTTTCTTACTGTTAAGTGCAATGTTAAGTGTAAGTGTTGCTCAGAATAAGACAGTAGTTAGGTACTTCAGGAAAGAGCTTAAACATATRCTTCTCTGTCAGAGTGAGGTAGTAGATTGTATAGTTGTAGGGTAGTTATTTTACCCTGTTCAGGAGATAACTATACAATCTATTGCCTTCCCTGAGGAGTAAAAAACACTGCGGTCCTTTGCAGTCATTCATGTCTACATTGAATAAGAATAGATCTGTCAGATAAATTTGGAGTTTTAGAGTATCTAATTAATCAGTGGCAGAATTTTCAGAATGAACTATTACGTGGCAGTGGTGCAATTCTCTTCGCCCAAATACATTTGACTACTGTGACTTTTCTTCCAAGGTGAGTGGCACAGTGCTGACTGGATAACCAAAGTGCAGATGTTACTAGATACAGATTTGCCCTAGTAGAATGCTCTAGAATAATTTTTGTAATATAAATATACAGGTGGCTTGAGATTGTCTTGTGCATTGTCTTAAACTGTTTTGAGACCTCAGTTTCTTTAAGGTATTAAAGTGCCACAACCCCAGCTGGTTAGTAAAAGTTGAAGGAAAACTTGTCAATTGTGCTTTCTTAAYGTGTCTGCTTTTTTTTTTCTCCTAGTTCTAGCAAATGAGGCTTAAACAGTGTAATACAACATTAAAATGTTGACTTGAAGAGCCAAATACACCTTTTAAAGCAAAACACTTCTGGAGTACACATGTAAAGCTATAAAACTTGAATACTGAAGACTGAGAACTCCAGTTTGTCTGAGGTAGTTCCTGTTTTTATAAAAATACAGTTTAATCTTACTTTGTGCTTTTTCTTCAAGTCCTAAAGTGTATTCAGTTCAACTGCTTCTAGAGTAGATGCACAGATAGCTCTTCCCTCCAGTGACAGAGCAGAGCATGAAAGGGCTTTTCGTGACTGGAGGTTGAGCACAGTAAGAATAAAAATGGAGCCATTCAAGCCAGGAATGTTGAACTGCTTAACCACATACAAATAGTGACAACAGCATAAAGCTGCAGAACATACCCAGGCCTAACATGCAGAAGATGGAGAGCAGCTGGTAAGCTAAACTGACTGCAGAGAACAGCTGCTCAGTAAGAAGAACTGCCAAAAGGAGACATGGGGCTCCTAGGAAGAGGTAGTAGGTTGCATAGTTTTAGGGCAGGGATTTTGCTCGCAAGGAGGTAACTATACAACCTGCTGCCTTTCTTAGGGCTTTATTATAACAACAGGACCATTGGCTCTGTCTTAACTTCAGCAGCTTTAACACGTGAAGAGAAAGGACAAACTATTCCTAAGCATATTGAGGCTTATTGAAGCTGGTGTATGAGAAGGCATGGTGCTAAACTTGAGTTTAATAATGCTAGTTGAAGATCAGCATGGTAAAGTGCTGCATTTGAGGGTGTACTTGCCATTTTGGTGACATTAGTGCGATACCCTGCAGGAGAGAGGCTATGCTTGGAATGTAACTCCTTCAAAACCAAGATTTAAGTTCTCTATTGCATTATGCATATCTAAAAGTTCTATCAATACAACATACCTACCAACAAGTAACTAAAATACATATTCCTTTTGGCTTTGCATGTCCAACAAAGACTAGTTCTGTTTTTCCCCAAACAATCAGCTTGACAATTCGTCTGTAAGCTGGTGGTTTCTCTACATATAAGCACTCCTAGTAAAAAGTAGCTCTCGGTCACTCATTAAATGAATGATTGCTTGGTACCCTCTGTCATGGGCTTGCAGGTTAAGCAAGTAGTCCATAATTTGTTCTTTTAGGGCTTGATCCCAATACCTTACACCACGGGATACAGAGACTTAATTTAATGCCAAAGCCTGTTACAGCATTGAAATCTTCTGTCTATGCTAGCCAACACACTGACAGTGAGACACAATCCTTCCCTAGATACTATGAAAACACTGCATATGCTTATTTTTTGAACCTGTTTCATCAATGTAGTTATTTGACACAGTTAATGACCTAATAAACTAGTGTTTTATGCAACTATTATGATGTGTGGACTTTGCTTTCTCCAAAATAGAGCTGAATTTCACAAAAAAATAATACCCACATTATTTAAAATAATCAAGAACCTGTCATAAAGGAAGAAAAATCTAGTAGTAAAGTTTTGCAGCATACAAGACTTCACTGGTGGCAGAGAAGAAATCCTGTACAAGATCCCTGCTGAGTGTCAGGAGCTTTGCTTACCCCAGAGCTAGTTTATGAACTTAAGTTTTAACTGCTGCATAAATGTTTTTGAAAGGGTGAGCTGTCTAGCCTTACTATAGGTTGGGTTCTGCATAAATGCATGATCTGCATAGAACTGCTTAAAACATTAACATTTGGGAAAAGAAACAGATACCCATGTGTTTGATCTTTAGCAATGTGAAACTCCTTCTAAGCTTTAATGTACTTAGCATTTTATATGTTGAAGGAATATGCTTGTAAAAGAAATAATCTGTGTCAGCCACCATAGCTGTGATGRTCCTTTTGTCACGTGCTACTTTTGCAAAGTCTGAGGCATGTATCAATAGAATTTGGAGACTAAATTAAAACAAATAGCTTTATATTGCTATTAATATAGCTGTTAATTTTAAATTTTTAAAGTTAGTTTGGTGTCATGTGCAAGGTTTAGACTTGATAGGCAGATATCTCTTCTGTTACTGTCACATTTAATACGGTTAGCTGCATGCAGTAGAATAAGCTTCAAGTTTATTAGATTGACTGAAGCTGTATACATCTAAACACAGCTCAGAGCCAGACTCCTTTGCAGAGTCTTAAATGCTGTTTAGGCAAAAGTAACTAAAATTTTGAATATAGTGAGATTAATACCTCCTTGTGCTTTCACAGTATGGAGATTACTGCATCTACTGCACCACATCAAATATAGACCCTATTACATAATACAGTAAGTGGCCTTGATGGTGTCATTCCTAAAGGAAAACAGTAATACTCACTTTTGTTAATGGTTTAGTTCTTTAACTAATGGTGCTAGCAGTATTTGACTTTCATCTGATCATTACTGATGCTGTCTTACCTAAGATTTATACAGGCATTTACTGGCTTGTAACTGGAAGCAACTTGATGAAATGATAAGGCTTGAACTAGAAAGGAAGCTTGTTATCGTTTAATCACCTCATCTATTAATCAGATTATTTCCTACCTTGACCATCTGTAGAGTCCACAAGTAAATGGCATCTGCTCAAGGCAAGGATTTTTCCAKGTGTGTAGTTGGAGACCCAAGGATGAGGTGACAGCACGGAATGAAGCCTTCCAAGCAGAGAAGCAGTGGTTAAAGAACACACATCAAACRGTGCAGAAGAGTTTGCGCTAACAGTAGAGACATGCCTACCACCCATATTGAAGTAGTTGTTTCATGGTGGTCTTGGAAATGTTCCAAGAGTTCCAAAAATAGAACACAGCTTCAGCTCTGATCAGTATCCCATGAGAATTACTTCTGTTCTGTATTCCTCTCTGGGAGAAGTTGTGCTCTAAAATTTTCTTGGTTGTGTGAAATTGGAGACCTCTTGAAGTTTTCCATATGGAAAAAACTGCTTTTGAACACCGTGCCCCCGAAGAGTACTGCTAGCATTTGAACCATCTAAACTAGGGACTTGTCACCTGTGCTGCCTTGCTTTGGGATCTGAGACTGTAGCTGGTAGAAAGGAATTCCCATAGTAAAATTCTTACTAAAATAGGCTTTCATTTATATAATTTGTGCTATGCAGCAGATACCAGAGCTCATAGAGAACAGCTGCAGCCATGAGTGCCTACTCTAGAACCGCAACATSCCTCAATGCATGGTGTTACTTCTAGACCCCTGCTCAGCTTTAAGGAGCCCAATGGTTGAGTTTAAGAAAACCAGATTTCTGCTAAAGCTTACTAGTAAATTTCATGAAATGGTTATGTAAAGATAAAGAAGATTGCAATGCCCACAAAAAATCAGAAGTGCCATTTGTTCTTACTGCCTGTATAGTCTAAAAACATTGAATTGTAGATACAAGTTTCAGACACTTTAAAGCACTAGAGTGAAAAGAGTTTATATGCATTGAAGAGTAAAGCATTGATCTCTTTTGCCCTGTTAGACTAAAATAACTTCAGAATCAAACTGTTAAAAAAATCATACAGTGATACCAAGTCAAACTGTTCAAGTTATATAATGATACTAGAAGTTGTATTGTTGGTGACTGAAAATGTCTTTTCTGAAAAGTACAAGAATGTTACTGAAAAGTTCCTATTGACATTCAAGCTTTTCCAAATAAATTATCTTGAAAGTGATGATTAAGCCAGCACAACCTAAAAACAAGGAGAAAGGCCAAATCATGCATTTCAGACTCCCAATTCCAYATAGCATAGGTACATCTCTAAAGGTAATGTGTGTTCTCAGTGATCCCAGCGACTAGCCATAAATTACCAGGTGAAGAAAATAACAAATTTAAGTATCCTGAAAAGTTCTTACATGTGAAACCAATTCAGCTCTGGAATTGTTTATTTATAAATGGTTCCTCCTTCAGTAGCTACCTAAAATGAGGAGGGGTGGGTGGAAGGATGAGGAAGAAAAGAAGAGCAAGACCGGTGTACTTTCAGCATCAGCTCTTAAGATGAGAAGTGTGTACAAACAGCTAGTACTCAAGATTTACAAGTGTTATACGCCGTGGTTGAGGCTGTTAGACCCAAACTTATAGAAGGCATATTTTATTAAAATGCCCTTATGCTCTTATCAAGGGCATAAGAGCACAGCTTTTATCAAGACTTTCCCTCGTAGTAAAATAACTAAAGAGGTCCAAAGTGGTTTTTCAGTTTCAGATAGGTAATAACCATCCCAAGTGTTTCTTGGGCAACTGGCCTATACTGTCCTATAATATTGRTGTAAAACTCAATGAAATACACAAAACTGTTGTGGAGATCCTACCATCACCAGGCACAGCGGAAGCAACAGGCCTTCACTGTCCAGCACCAAGTGTGTTCTTTGCATGCAGGTATCTGCTGTGCACGTTTCTTCCTACWATAATAGTTAACATCTTCCTACAATAATAATTAAAAGAACCAAAGGATTTGGTCCTCCACAGGCCAAAGCTTCCTGTTCAGCAGTTCAGCAAAATGTTTAAGGATGTGGAGCTCTGGATGTGTCTAGAAAAATAACATGCCATTTAGAAAGCAAGTTCTTAAGTATTGTTAAAAGACTGCCTGTGTGAAATAGTTCCCATCTTAGAGTATTATATAATGGATGTTGAGCAACTTGGATTTAACTATAAGTACAAGAAAAACACTTGCAGTATAAGTGGGTAACATGGTTGGTGAGCGTATAAGCACTTATGTTTTTACAAGTCTGGCTTATGGTCAGCAAAGATAAAGAAGTTTTCACAATTGATGCCTTTACTTAGCCAGCATAGATGAGCAGATGAGATGCACAATTGTTTTTTTCCATCATTTATACAAATATTTTTAGGGCTGGTAAGGGAATATCGAAGGTGGGCACTTAAAAAACCATCCAGGCAGAGCTCTATTTTTAATCTTCTGAGAACATGACACACAAAAGCCATTTTTTCTAATGATGATTCACTTAGTGTCCACATTTCTGCTTACGGCCAGCATAGCTTTTAAAGAGACCCCAGTATGGATTTTCACTCTAAATTCATGCAAGTTGCGTGCAAGGGCTTTTGAAGTGCTTCATCTAATACCTGACACGTAAAACTGATCTGTAGCTTCTCTCAATATTCATCTGTGTGAACTTCCTCCAGAATCAATTCATTCCAGCTAAACACTCTGAAAGCTGTTACCACAGAACAAGTAACCAAACAAAATGGAATTTTCCTTACCATTATGCCCCCTTAGTGTCATACATGGGCAGTGCTGATAACAAGCCTGATGCCATTCCATGTTCAGACTGGGAATAGTGGGAACAATATTTTCAGTACTTGCCTTCCTGAAATCCAGTTGGAGATACCGCAAAGGGTCCAATCTATACACATTYACCTATGAAAAAACAAAGGTGATTATTGCCATGCATATAGGGGCTGATAAAAACCAGTAATACAAAACAATAAATTTGGAAGGCACAGCTAGCTGTGTGGATTTAATATTTTGACTGAAATATTCAAAACACTTGGTTGAAACCACAGACAAAAGCAGAAACTTGTTCATTCAGGTAGGGTCCAAGGCATGACTATGGAGTTCAAAAGAAAGTTTCTGCCCCGTGACAGAAAAAACTCACTGTGCTCAGGTATGACAGGACAGAAATCTAAATCACTCATTAATACCTCTGGGAGCCAAAACAAGATTATGATTTTTGTCATCACATTATGCACTAGCGAGTGCTGATAAAGCCCAGCCTGCTCATACATGTCACGCAGGAGAAGTGTTTTGAGGACACTGGTGGCGTGGGGGAGACCGGAGCAGGGCTGGCACCACCCGCAGCAACACATGGAGTTGCCTGCTGCCAAACTGCAGTGATTTAGTCCTGGTGGCGATTTATTAAAATCTAACAAGCTCATTGTACCCACACAGCGTGGATGGCCACAATTCAACTACCAGGCACCCCACAGGAGCTGCTGTCATAGAATCATAGAATGCCGAAGGTTGGAAGGGACCTCAGAGGTCATCGAGTCCAACCCCCCTGCTCACGCAGGGTCACCTAGAGCACGTGGCACAGGGCTGCATCCAAGCGGGTTTTAAAGATCTCCAAAGAAGGAGACTCCTTCCTTCAGACTGTCAGTACTGTGTTGATGAAGGAGGCGCTGGCTTTGCTGGGAACTGCTCTCCGCAGGGTTTTCTCAGCACCTAGGGCTCTGCACCCCAGCTTGGGGCAGCTCTGCTGCTCCAGCCGCATGGGARGGGATCGCAGCACCAGTGTGAGCATACATTGCCAGCTTAAGAACAAATA